GGGATTCTGGGTGCCTCCTAAGTTCCCTATTTATATATTTAAGACTCCTAGTTAGGGCCTGAATGGTATGGGTTTACTAATTCTATTCCTTATAGGGCTAGGGCTTACTTTAGGGATAAGGGTCCATGGTCCATAGTGGGCCATATTAATTAAAGAGGATCCTAATCATAATCTGAATAGTAAAAGGCCTACTTCCTTTATTCCTAACAGGCTTAAGACTCTTATTCGGGCAAGGGTCCACGGTTCAGGGTGGACCTAACTAATTAATTAAAGGTAAACCTAACATAATTAAATCATATTTAATTATTATTAACGGGATTAATTAAATAATTAACCCGGGATTGAAGGCCGTAACACGGGGTGTTACAAAGCTGCTCAACTCACCCCTGCCCAGGAAGATCAAGCAGAGCCTTCGACAAGGCAACAACCAGCAGCTGTGAAAAGAAAGAGGGCACCACCACAAAAGCGAGAGAAAGTACGGGACCCTGATGTGAATTACTTCAGTACACGATGAGTCCCAAGCAAATGTATGACCTTGTCCAGCATCTAACACAGGACCAAAAGGATGCTGTGATTGATATGGGTTTTGAAGGGCTGCTGCACCTACAATTCTCAAGCAATTACTCACAACTTGTTGAGTATCTTCTGCAAAGGTTTGATGTTTTCAAATCAGACTTCATATTGGATGGTGACCATCTACATGTCGGTGAAGAGGATGTTGAATACATCTTGGGACTCCCCCGGGGGAAGAGAGATGTTGAGGAAGGTACAAAGAGTGAGGAAAATTCTACAGCTGCATATAATAAGGTCCTGACTGAGTGGAGGAAAAGATGGAATGTCAAGTCAGGGTCACCCATAACAACAAAGATTCCTGATGAAATAATCAGGAGAGGTGACCATGGAGATGCCTTCAAGAGAGACTTTGTGGTGTTTGCTGTCTCATCTCTGCTCCGGGGAAATATTGGAAGATATGCCAACTATCGAGTTATCAAGTCATTGCTCAACATCCGGGCAATCTCAAGACTTAATTGGTGCAAGTGCACGTACAAGTCTTTAATTGATTCGTATGACATTTACAAAGACTCTCCTACCAGATCCTTTGGAGGTCCAATGGTATTCATCCTGGTAAGATCCCATTATACATAAACTGTTCTAATTATGGAATTATATTTATGCAATTATGTAATTGTAGATATTCAATTCTGGATGTGTGGTTATGCACCTATGGATGTGTAGTTTTGTATTTGTGGAATTATGGTTTTGAAATTATGGAATTATTGTTTTACAATTATGAATGTGTGGTTTTGTAATTATGGAATTATATTCATGCAATTCTGTATGTGTGGTTATGCCCTTATGGATGTGTAGTTTTGTAATTGTGGAATTGTGGTTTTCCAATTATGGAATAATAGTTTTACAATTATGGGATTATAGTTATTCAATTATAGATGTGTAGTTTATGGATTATGGAATTATAGTCATCCAATTATGGAATTATAGTCATGCAATTATGAAATTATAGTTATGCAATTCTGGATATGTAGTTTTATAATTATGGAATTATAGTTATGCAAATAAGAATGTGTATCCATACAATTCTAAATATGTAGTTATTCAATTCCTTAACATACTCTTCTGTAATTCTTGAAGCTCTTCTACTTTGACCGAGTAGAGTTCAGAGGCATGACTGTCAACCGCACATTCCTAGCAATAAAAGCTTGGACAAAAAGCCTTGTACGCAAGCGAGTATCGGTTGAGATAAAATCAGGGGGTTTTGGTAAGGGCAAAGTTATCCCTCGATTTCAGAGACCTACTGCCATTGCATCTACATCATCACCCCGACCTGCACCTCCTCCTGCTGCAATACCAAGGCCAGTGTGCAGCCCTGCTGCTACACCATCTATTCCAGCTCCATCTGTGCCTCTGACTAATGTTGACCGAGTAACAAATGTGCTTCAATGGCTTACAGCAGATGTCCTTGAGTTCGGTCAGGTCATGTCTGACATTGGCAAGCAAGGGGCCCCGGTTGAAATCATGAAGAGGGCTTTTTCAGGAATATCAACAATGCTGAGTGCTGCAAGCACAATTCAACCGACTCCTAGCCCAACTGCCTCGCAATTGGATGACATCTTCTTCAGAAGTGAAAGCTTCACATCAGCAGTTGATTCTCTGGTAGCAGCTTTTGAAAAAACAAGAAAAGAAATGGAAATAGAAGTCCCATCGTTTAAGCTACTTGGACGCTCTACACCAATCCCACCACCATCTCAACAGCAGCCTTTAGACACCCTGGTGGATAACATTGTGAGGAGTGCAGGAGTATCAACCTCAACAGAGAAGGAAGCAACTCCATTACTAATCAGAGTGCCATTCGAAAAATCCACCACTCCTACTACCCCTGCTGCCCAAGCTGTTGCTGAGATTGATGAATTTGATAAGTAGGTTACTGCTTTCTTATGCAGATTTAGACTATGAATATGGTTTTCAATTCATCAATAATTATGAATATTAAGTTTGATTAATATGAATATATTCTTATTCAACTATTGACATTGATTTCTTTACAATTATGGATATGTATTTCTCAAATTATGGACATATAGTTTATAGATTATGGAAATGTAGTTATACAATTCTGGAATTATACTTGTGGGGTTATGAACTGCCTCTGTTTTTTTCTGGACAACAGAGTTATGGAAGAAAGTGAATCTGATGTTGAGGATGTTACTGTGAGAAAGAGACCTGTGCGCAAATTCAGGAACATCCCGCTTTATTTGAGGTCACCATATTGGAATAAGAACAAAGGCTCCATCGATAATGCAACTCCCAAAGAAAAGGTTTTTTCAAACTACGCATTTTTGGAAGCCTCAAGTGAGCACCCGGGAGGGTATGTTTCCATCCACCTATTTTACTTAAATTTTATTCATTAATTTATGTTCTTATATTTATTTATTTACTGTATTGTAGAGAGACATTGTTCAAATATGGTGATTACTACTTGTCAAGGGACGATTTTGCAACTCTGTGCAATGGTGAGCTACTGAGCAGCTTCCTAGATGTCTGGTCCCTATGTTTTACATTGCTAAACATGTCCCATGCGTTGGGGAGACAAAGCGGGTCTACTTCTCCACCCTAGTACATGTAAGTGTTCACAAATTATGAATATATAGTTTTTAGATTGTGGATATGTAGTTATTCAGTTCTGGATGTGTACCTGTGAACCCCTGGTTTTATAGTTTTGTAATTCTGGAATTATAGTTATGCAATTATAGAACTATAGTTATGCAATTATGGAATTGTAGATATGCAATTATGGAATTATTGCTATGAAATTATGGAATTATAGTTATGCAATTATGGAACTATAGTTGTACAATTCTGGAAGTGTATATATATAACTCTGTATGTATAACTTTAACATTTTCAACAAATATTATTTGGATTATGACTACTCATTCCTGCATTTGTATGTGCAGCTTCAAATTGATCCCAATGACCAGTGGATGAAGGATCTCCGAACTCACATAAAAATGAAGAATTTCAATGAGAGATTGAGCTATGAAATAACCAGCTTCGGGAACCTAGACATAAGTGATACAGATCTGGTAAGTTCTATTACCCATGTCTAATTTGACTTTATCATGTCCAAAAAAATACTAACATTGCTTTAACTTTGAATTGGAATTAGATATTTTTCGCAGTTCATCGCCATGGTCACTACTTCTTGGTCTGCTTCAATGTGAAAGAACATAAAGTACAGGTCATTGACAACAAGGAGTTACCAGCTGATGTTTCGGAGAAGGACAAATATGGCAACTGCCCACACTTATTGGTAATTTTGATTAAAAAAAAAAAAAACTTGACATTCTTACCATTACCTATCTATTGACTTAAAAGCATTATTAACACTAAACTAACTTTTCTGACCAGATTGAAGCATTCAGTGGTTACCTTAAGGTCGAGTGCCACTCCTTGTATGTGAAATTGCAAAAAGTTGATATAAAGTACCTTAAGTTGGACTGGGCAAACACTGAAAACGTCACTGATTGCGGGATCTATGTACTCCGGCATATGGAGACATTCCGAGGGACTCTACAAGACTAGCAGCCAGGATTCAAGAAGAATATGCGCTTGAATGTAAGACTACCATACATATTATAGTTTCAAAATACATTAAAAAATAAATAAAACTGCAAATGACTAATTACTTAATGTTCTTTGTTTATAAGCAAACTTCATGTGTGAACTGCGAACGAAATATGCTGCCAACCTCATAAAGTGGAGAATGAATGAAGTCGGGGGGAGGTTCTGCAAGCGGCCAAAAGAGTTTCGAAGAAGAATTGAATGAATATTCTTCAACATGTTGACTGAATTCTAAACAATGAGAAAGTTTTTGTGAACTACACTGACAATGTGACTTGTATTTTGTGAATGTGAATGCATGATGTTAATAGCTGAATAACAATTTACATCTGATCTATGCACCTCTTTCTCTTTTCTTTTCTTTTCTTTTCTTTACTTTTTTTTTTTGTTTTCACGTATCAAATCTATAATTGCATGACTACTATAAATCCATAATTGCATAACTATAGTTCCATAATTGCATAACTATAATTCCATAATTTCATAATTATAATTCCATAATTGCATATAACCAATTCCATAATTGCATAACTATAGTTCCATAATTGCGTAACAATAATACCATAATTGTAAAACTATACATCCATACTTGCATAACTATACACCACAATTTCATAACTACAAATTCCATCACAATGGGGACTACACATGCATAAATGCATAACTATATTTTCATAATTGCATGACTATAATTTCATAATTGCATACCTTTCATAATTGCATGACTACAATTCCATAATTACATAACTATAATTCCATAATTTCATAACTATAGTTCCATAATTGCAAAACTACATATCCAGAATTACAAAACTAAAAGTCCATAATTGCATAAAATCAATGATAACAACTTGTAATTCTCAATCTACACCTACATTGTCATCTAAACCCTTACTAAACTGAACAAAATCTGAACTTGAAGAACTTGGATGTACAAGGTATCCATCCCCAGCAAGCTTGGATATGTTTTCCAACACCAAACACTGAACAGCACCCTTTGTACTCAATGCAGCTTTATTTGCAGCACTCCTTCTCCCCCTTGCAAGACTGTACTTCTTTTCAATAACACCACTCCTCCTTTTGTTACGCTCACATTTCAATCTCCGACTTGAAGGATTTTGAACACCACCACTTGAAGATGAAACACCACACTCTTCAATATGCACATGCCCAACCTCGGCTTCAACCTTTTTCTTTACATCATCAACAGCTTCGTCACACAATTTCCTAGCTACGCTGCTATCTTGACTAGACACAACTAATCTTTGAAATTTTCTACTAATATCGAACACCCAAATTGATGGAGGAACACCAAAATTATAAACCATAGAATCAATGTTGACATTCCTACCATCAATAACCTTTTTAGTCCATCTTTTAAGTATATATTTGTCGGGGATACTAGAAACACAATGTACGTGAAGAATGCGTATACAATGACAACATAGAATTCCCAACTCAGACATCAACTTGCAATTACAAGAAATGTCCAAGTTGGCTGCGTTAAAACTAACCTCATGCCTTATAATATCTATATCTGGCCGCCACACGTGATACTTCTGTTGACGGCCATCATTCAACACCATCTCTTGATGACACGCACTGCCTTTCATGAATTGTTCCTCAAACAGAAAATATATCTCAATCGTGTATACCTCTCTAGCATGTGAAAGAAGTTTCACATGCTCCATCATCATAGCGGGTACCCCTTGAGCACACCGAAAGTCTTCACCGTTCTCTTTACTTTTCCATTCAGAAATTACGCTTACAAACGATGAATAGAAATCACAAAGACCCGCTGTCTTGGACAACCTTCTAGAAATCGAATGATTTGTAGTTTCACTCCTTTGTGATGATAGAATGACCCCAGAAAAATAGTCCTTGTTAAATGTTGGACACCACTTCTCCCTACAATCAAATAGCTTTTCTAACCAAGTATTCTTGTGACATTTATAGTCAGTCACCAACCTGAAAATGGTAAGACAAAATCCCAAATGTTTATGAAGCAGAATATTAACAAGCAGCATCACCACATCTAACACATACTCAGAATTTCTACTGCTGTATATACATAATTGGAATACTATATGTCCATAATTGATAGACTATATATCCATAATCCATACTACTACATTTCCAGACACCACCAGTAAGTTCAACTACTATATATCCATAATCGATATACTATATATCCATAATCGGAATACTATATATCCATAATCCATATACTACATTTCCAGGCACCACCAGTAAAGTTCAACTGCTATATATCCATAATCGAAATACTATATATCCATAATTGATGCACTATACATCCATAATCCATAGACTACATTTCCAGTGACCACCAGTCAATTCACCTGCTATACATCCATAATTACTATACTATACATCCATAATTCATATGCATATGAAACGTAATGCAATAAAAACGATTAATTACTAACATACCTTGTCCAATAGAATTGAAATTCAGCTTCGATCTCTGTGTATTTCAACACGTAGTTAAACATATCCAAGAAATCCTTATTGTTCCTTAACGTCTTGATATGCTTCTTTGAATTCTCACCAATATGCCATATGCAAAGACGATGACGTGATGTTGGAAACACTTTAGATATAGCAGCAGCCATAGCTGCACATTGATATGTCATAATAGTCTGTGGAGACTTGCCACCCATTGATCTTGAAAACTCTTTAAACAACCACACAAACGATTCTATCCTCTCATTCATCAAAAACCTGCATCCAAACATTACATTCATGCAATGGTGATTCATCCCTACGAAAGGGCCACAAATCATATCGTATTTGTTTGTGCGATATGTCGTATCATGCACTAACAAGTCCCCAAACACCTCGTAATATCGTCTCATTTGACCATCCCTCCAAAAAAAAATTGCACAACCTTGCATCCAAATCAAGTTCAAAATCAAAGAAAAAATCAGTCTCGGTAGACTGCCTCCTCCTAAAAATTTCAATTAAAGAGTTAGAATCCGTTCCATCCAATCGCTTGACAGTATTCGCAACCATTGAATTATAAGCATCTCTACTGGTGAAACCAACTAAAGGGGACCCCCCCCCCCCTGATTGGTGTTTTAGGAACCTAATACCATCTGCCAATGCAACACCACTGTCCTTCAAACCTTGTAAATATAAGAGCTGATTATCTCCGACACTCCTATGTGAACGAAGTAGATGACTCTTGTTGAACACATATAACTCGTGATTGTGCACTTTCTCGTGTTTTGTAACTGTCCACAACCCATCATCACCCACGTCAAATTGAACAAACGCTCCACACCCTGTCCTTGTGTCAATTTTGGAATAAGCCTTAACCCCACTGTTTGCCTTATAACCAGCCTCAGAACAACAAAATTTCTTCATTTGAATTGTGTTCGTAGATTCCTTGTATCGTTGATGACCCTTCCTCACACTAAAACCAAGTCTATATGCATAACTGTTATACACCTCAAAAGCCTCATCAGCATTACTTACTACCAAACCAACCAAATCTTGATCAACTGCAAATATAACACAATAATAACCATTTCCATTAACATATAATTCCTAACCAGAATTTACTAATTAAAAGGTAAACCACTATGAATAAACCTGGAATTGATGAAGATCCATCAACATCTATATCTACTTGATCTGAACTCACTGAACCATCCACAATGTCTTCACTAACTACATTATATAGACATGGTGAACATTACTTCAAACAGTTCATCAAACAGTTCATCAAACAGCAAAAACATAGTGCCTACATATTCTGTATATATAGTTATATGATTATGGAAATATAGTTATACAGTTATGGATACACAGTCGCAACAAACTGCCAAAACAGAGTACCCCGCTAATTCTGAATATATAGACATGCAATTCTGGAAATATAGTTATGAAATTATGGAATTATTGTTTTCAAATTCTGGAATTGTTGTTATACAATTATGGAAATTACTTACGTGATTTTGCACAACTATTTGCAGATTCTAGACACAAACATCACTGCTAATCACATAATCATACAAAAAACCAAAAGGAACAATTGCAAAAACAATAACAAGATCACCTTGAATCGAATGCCAATCACCAACTGCGGAATTCGTCTGCTCTGTTCCATCCTCCATCTAGCAATCACTTTGTAATTCCGATCCCCACTCCGATTTCGATTTGCGATTGCGATTGCGATTTGCGAATGCGATTGAGATTGCGATCGCGATTCCGGTGATATCGAATGCCAATTCCGGTGATATCGATTGAGTTTGAAACTTGGAAACAAACTCAAAAAGGAAGTAAACGCCGTTAACGGAATTTTTTTTTTATTTTATAAAACACCGCGTCATTAGGCTAAAACGACGTCGTGTGGATCTGTATGCACCATGCATGGTGCATACAGATCCACAACATAATTTGCCGTTTGGTTGATTGATTTTTAAAACACTAATATGGGTTTGGAATATCCCATTAATAGAAAAACCCATTCCCTTATTTTATAAGGGTTTCATCCTGTTATTCATCCTTAGCCTATCATTCCCATTCCACCCTACTACCAAACATGCAAAATACTTTCACCAAAACCCATTACTATTACAAGTATTTGATACCCATTCCGATTCCGATTTCCATGTGCGAACCAAACACACCCTTGGTTATGTTGAAGTTGTAGCATCGGAAATTACAAAACGTACTGTAAATGCGTACACAACAATCATATATAAACATGTATAGTACTTGGAAATTAAAAACAAATACCGACTTCTCCATTTAGCAAAGAGTGAAGGAAACACACAAATCTTCAAACCAACTACTCCATCAAGATTCTTCAATTTTGTGCCGCAATTTGCATATGATCCATCTAGATGTGTCAAGTATGTCAAAGTTTTTGACAAAATTTTGATTAGTAAGTATGGTATAATTAAAATGAAATAATACACGAGTAGAGTAATCATACCGTCACAGATTTATCAAATTATCATGTGCGCACAAACTTTTGTTGCAGTCTCATCAAACAAAGTTTCATATTCACGTACAACCCATCTTTGACATCATTGAAGAACCCATAGTAGGCTAATCTCCATTTGTCACTGAGCACCAACGAGACAAGAAGTCCCCAAAAGCTTATAGAGAATCCAATCACTATGGATATTGATGGATTATATGAACCCGGGGGTCCGGATTATACAACCCGTATACGAAATGGAATATAATGAACGAATAATAAAACTGTAAATATTGTATTAATTGGATATAAAATGCTATTACAGAGGTTCGGGACGTGTAATAACAAGACAAATATTGTAGGAAAAGTATGAGATGCCTAATTAGGACACTGGGGGGTGTTTATATACTCCCCGGCTGCTACGAGCCCTGGGCCCGCAGGAAGAGCCCCGGTCCACGCCGCGGGACTCGCTCCACGCGAGGACCCGACCCTTGGCCGAGCACGGGCTCGGTCGAGCCCGCGGGGGCCGAGGCCGAGCCCACGTAGCCGACCCCATGGGGCTCGACCGAGCTCGGGGAGGTCGGCCCACGCCGACCCCCACTGGGCCGACCCCCGGGGTGGTTCGTCCTGCATCGCGGGTGGGCACGAGGTCCGACCCGGTTCGTATTGTCCTGCTCCGCTCCGGCTCCGTGATTATTCCATCATCAGTCCCCCAATCTCGGGGCTGCGAGGAGTCGTCAGCGCGAGAGAGTAAAATGAATTCAATAATTACGGGGCCCCGAATCATGTTCCCCAAAAAATTAAACCATGCCTCCTGTAGAATTCTTGGCGCGATAGAACTCCTAACCAAACTGGAATTCACTCATGTGTTCATTATTATCAGTTTAAGAGTCCTCATCCTACTACAATCCTTCCACTTCCCCTTTAAGTATCCCCTCCATCTTCCCAAACCTCCTCACATTCCCAACACCACACCTTTCCCTCTCCCCCAAAATTTCCACCCTTTCCCACCAAAAATGTCTTCTCTTTTTCCCCCTCTTTTTTCCCCTTCCCTCCCCTATATAAAGTAGCATTCCCTTCACTCCTCCCACACACATAAAAGGTCCACACAAATCTGAAATTTCTCTCTCTCCCCTCCCCCAAATTTTCTGGCCAACCCCTGCCGCCGTTCGCTGCCGCCTGCCGACCAGCCGACCCCAACCCCTGCCGAGGCCGACCCGTGCTCCACCGCGTCCTCCATCCGTGCCCTCCTTGTTCATCCCCTCCTTGCTTGAGTCGGGTGAGTCTTGTGCAAACCCTCTTTTAGAGTTCCGTAGTTAGCTTTTTATGAGTATAGTGCCTCTTGCCGAGGACACGCATCCGGTAGACTTACCTTTGATTATCAATTATTGGTACATCCTAGACTCCATTGACTACGAGGACCTCCCGTCTAATTATGACGAGTCTATTGACTTAGACCGGTTTCCTTCTCCCTACGTTGAGCACTATTACATTGAGTACCTGTACATAGATCCGTTAGCCACGCATCCCCCCTTCATGTTGACTCCTACGCCACTCCCGGATCCCTTCCCCTTGGGTCAGTACACCGTACTTGACTCCGCCATCCCTCGGGGATTCGGGTCCTCCTTGAATCCCCACGATATCGCCGTGGCGAAGGCCTTGGTCGGCCTATCGGCTGTGGTCCACGTCCCACCTCCCGGGACAACTATACTAGAGCCTCTCGGACCCAATTTTTTTGGGGTCCATGTTACATCTCTCCTCATGGGTTTAGCTTTCTCTCTTCACCCCTTCACCATTGAGCTCCTGAACTTTCATCGTATATCTGTGGGTCAGCTAGTCCCTAACTCCCATCGGGCGGTGGCGGCCTTTATTGTTCGGTGTGTCGAGGTGGATATCCGCCCTAACCTGGACCTTTTCTACTCTTTTTTCACCGCGACCAATTCCTCGTCTAAAGAGAGAAGGGGGTACATGGCGTTTGCGGTTCGGCCGGGGACGATGATTATGGGACAAGTACGAGATTTCAACAAGGGTTGGAAGCCCCGGTTCATGTTTGTCTCTACAGGCGAGGCGCTCCCTTTTGAGGTGCCTTGGGGTGGGTACTTTCGTAAGTGTTGTTGCCCGCGGTCCACCCCGGAGCTTGAGGTCCTGGCCCAGGAGTTTTTGGGCGAGACAGCTGATATGTTAGACTCCCAGGCCCTCGTTGATCACGAGTCTTTGGTCAGGGCGGGCTTTTCTCGCGACCTCCCTCCTCCGCCTCCTCGTGGTGCTCCCGCCCCTCCTCCAGACTCCGCGGGGGAGACCGAGGAGGAGTCTGCAAGCGATGATTCAGAGGATGACTACGTTATTGAGTTGCGAGCCGGACATTCGACGCCTCCTCCTACCAGTTCTGGTTTGTCACCTCGTCGACGTGCCTGTGTGCCTGTTTGTTAATGCGTTAACCCGGGGGTCCAGATTATACAACCCTTATATGAAATGGAATATAATGAACGAATAATAAAACGGTAAATATTGTATTAATTGGATATAAAATGCTATTACAGAGGTTCAGGACGTGTAATAACAAGACAAATGTTGTAGGAAAAGTATGAGATGCCTAATTAGGACACCGGGGGGGGGGGGGTGTTTATATACTCCCCGACTTCGGGAGGAGCCGCGGTCCGCGCCGCGGGACTCGCTCCATGCGAGGACCCGGCCCTTGGCCGAGCACGGAGCCACGGGCTCGGCCGAGCCCACGTGGCCGAGCTCGGGGAGGTCCCCACTGGGCCGACCCCGGGGTGGTTCGTCCTGCATCGCGGGTGGGCACGGGGTCCGACCTGGTTCGTATTGTCCTGCTCCGCTCCGGCTCTGTGGTTATTCCATCAGATATGTAAAACTCTCGATCTACAAGATTATCATCACCTTCTTTGTAGTCATTGTTTTTGCCATGCGGAGGAACATCTATGGGACACCTGGGAAGTGGATCCCCACATAAGCCGCTATTTCCGGCATATGATGAAGCATTGAAAGTTTGCAGCTGAGTGCCCTTTGGAATTTTGCCAGACAAGAAGTTGTTCGACAAGTCAAGAACCCCAAGAAAAGTCAATTGAGCAAGACTAGAGGGAATTTCACCTGAGAGTTGATTTCTGAATAGATCAAGGGATTCTAAATTTTCCATCTCATAAATTGATGGAAAGATTTTACTAGTCAAATGGTTTCTTGATAAGTTCAAGGACACTACTTCCTTGAAAGCATAAAGGTCTTCCGGGATATTTTCACTCAATTTATTACTTGAAAGATCGATGCAATTCAGAAATCCTAACTGCTTATTGAACTTTGCGTCCTTGTTTTTCCACTGAACAAAAACATCGTCTATGTAGAAGGCAGGATAATCAATATCTCCCGTGATAGTAAAGTAAGAGATTTCAATGCTTCCAATGGGAGTACTCTGAATCAGAGTAGTAAAATTGTTAAAGCAGCGCGGGATTCTCCCTGTCACCTTGTTTTGAGAGAGATCTAAGAAGTGGATATTCTTCAGGTGACACAAACTTTCAGGCATGCTTCCATTAAAGTTGTTATTGCGTAGGCTAAGAACGGTCAAATTAGTTAGATAGCTCCCTATCCATGTTGGGATTGTCCCAATAAACTTATTTCCTTCAAGATCCATAACTTTCAAGGATGTGAAATTTTGGAATGAGGAAGGCAATTCCCCATTGAAGTTGTTGCTTCGCAAGTGCAATGATTGAAGCCGAGGTAGGGAGCCTAAAGAGTGGGAAATTTCTCCAATGAAACCATTACTCGCAAAATTAATAATGCCTAAATTTGAAATGTTATTGTTCCAACAATCAAGAATCTCTCCGAAGAAATGATTATATGAAAGGTCAATGCATAAAGTATTTTGGCTAATAACTGAGCATAGGAAAGAAATTGAGCCAACGAACTTATTGTTTGAGAGATTAAGTATTAAAAAATCCCCAACGAATTTGGATATGGGACCCAAAACTTGTTGAAGCTTAGATCTATGATTGAAAAAGAAGAAAGCTTGTTGGATAAATCAGTCAATGTGGCATCAATGGTGTTGTAAGACAAATTCAAGTATCTAAGGTTGGGGGAGATAAGGTCCCAAAACCAATGGGGTAGTGTATCAGAAATACTAGCAGAAGAGAGATCAATCTCTGAAAACAAACTTTGATTTTGAAGCCATTTTGGGAATTTAGGTCCAACTTTACAGTTTGCTAACACTAGAGAATTTAGGGTATGAAAAGGAGGAACCCAATCATCATCAGTGAAGTTGAATGACAATCCTGGGTTTAGGGATAAATCCATGTTTTGGATGCTGGAAAGGTTCCAAAAGTGGGCTTCACTAATAACCCCTTCTAATGAGTTGGCTTTGGCACGAAATACTTGAAGCTTTGATAGCTTGCCTATGCTCTCTGATAACCCCCGGCCCCTTGTATCTGATTCCCACTCAGATTTAACACTTTCAATGACAAAAAATCTGATAAATCTGGAAATGGTCCTGTAAGCAGATTGTAGGATAAATCCAGTTTCATAAGATTACTTGCTTTTCCAAAACCTTTGGTGGTGTAGTCTTGAGGAAACACACTACCAAAATTGTTAATGGCTAAATCTAATTGCTCAAGACTTGAAGGCAAATATCCACTTATCAGGTTTTGCCTTGCATTCAATTCTCTCAAGGATTCAAATCTAGTGGCCATATTTGCAGGGAGTTTGGCAGTTAGTTCATTTCCAGACAACCCCAAAACCTCTAATGACTTCCCTGCACCCTCCCTTGCTAACTTCTCAAGAAGCTCACCAATGGTTTCATTTAGTCCATTATGAGATAATGAAAGAATTCTTAGATTTGTGAGGTTCCCAAGATGGGGAGGAATAGCACCAGCAAAGTTGGCATTCTCAAGATTCAAAACTCTTAGGGGTCGTTTACTTCATCTCTCTGTTTTTCCATTTCTAGTTTTCCATTTTTCCATTTCTCCAGTTTTCCTTCTCCATTCTTCCAATTTTCCATTTCTCCATTCCTCTGTTTTCTATTTCTCCATTCCTCCAATTTTTTTAAAAAGATAATAATAAAACCAACAACAACAACAATAATAATAATATAGTAATAATAATAATAATAATAATAATATAATAATAATAATAATAAAATAGCAATAATAATAATAATAATAATAATAATAATAACAATAAGAATTTAATAATAATATTAACAATAATAATAATAATAATAATAATAATAATAATAATAATTTAATAATAATAATTTAATAACAATAACAATAACAATAACAATAACAAGAATAATAATAATAATAATAATAATAATAATAATAATAATAATAATAATAATAATAATAATAATAGTGGCAATAATAATAATAATAATAATACTAATAATAATAGTAGTGAAAATAATAATAATAATAATAATAATAATAATAATAATAATAATTTAATAATAATAACAATAACATTAACATTAACATTAACATTAATAATAATAATAATAATAATAATAATAATAATAATAATAGTAGTAGTAGTGGCAATAATAATAATAATAATTTAATAAGAATTTATTAATAATATATTAAGAAGAAGCTTGAGAAGTTGAAGCGAAGGCACCAGCAGCGGAAGAATGAAAACATGAAGCAAAGGCGCGCTAGTCGAAATCGAACACAGGACGTCAGGATCAAGAAGTACTATTCACGCGTGTGTTTCCAATTCTCCATTTGGAGAAGTTGGTTTTGGTATTCTCCAAATTTCTTAAGAAAGTTGGAGATTGGAGATGGAATAAGCATTTGGAAGAAGATATTTGGTAAACAACTTCTCCAATTTTTATTTTTTTCACTTCTCAATTTCTCCATTTTTTTGGAAAATTCTCCATTTTTCCAAGTTAGTAAACGACCCCTTAATCTCTGGAAGGACCCAATGAATTCCGGGATTGAACTCCATTAGAAATCATTGTAACTTAGATCAAGATGATTCAAATGCTCAAGTTGAAGCAGAGATGAACTAACCTTGGGAGCACTCAGGTGGAGACTGATAACGTGGCCGGTGGCGTTGTTACAGCGGACACCCCACAATTTGCAGCACCCTTTATGACTTCCACAATGCTTTGCTTGAAAGCCAGGAGTGCTTGCCTCTCCATTTCGATACACCTTATGATATTGTTTTCAGCTCCTTCGACTCCTTTTGTGAAAGAAAATTAAAATTGCAAGGCAAAGGATATAAGATAGTTAATTCAATGTTTCAAGAATCGCTATGAAAATCTTGTTCTAGCAATAGGGTAGGGTTACGGCGAGACTCTTAGCTCAGAAAAATTGATTAAGGGAGTGTTAGACAAAGGTGAAAATCGAGGATATATTGACCGGAGGACTGGGTTTTAGGGGTTTAAGATTAGTGTAGCACTAGCATAAACTGAAAAATATAATGTATAAGAAAAAAAACAAAAAAAATAAAAAATAAAAAATAAAGGTTGACTAAGACTTGTGTCTGACCGAGTCTTGAGCAGTTGAGGTAGTAGCGTTTTTAAAGTTTTTAAGTTTGAACTTGCGCGTGGAGGCAGGGCATCCGAAGAAGACTTGGCAGTGACTCTTGAATCTTTAGCCAATAGCTTTCAACTTGTATTACATCCATGCAATTTACTTATGCGCATCTTCTTGCAACTTGTTCAACTTGTGCATATGCATACATCAATAATTGACCATTTTTGGTACTCTGTCAACAAAATCGTTAAAATGTCATTAAATACAAGGACATTTTGATCTTTTATATACAAAGTGGGTTGGCCCGCTATATTTTTTAAAAAAATCATAATTGACGATCGAAATATCTTTGTATTTAACGATATTTTAACTGTTCTGTTGATAGAGGACAAAAAATGGTAATGTCACAATAATACTATGATCAAAGTGAGATGTTCTAAATAAATTTAAAAAAAAAAAAAAAAAGGACTAAAAGTAGTGCGTGCAAACTTCGGTGAAATTTCGGTTAACCGACCGAATCGAAGAATTTTGGTTAACCGTTTTTTAACCGAAAAATTCCGGTTTGGTTAATGGTTAAAGAATTTGTAAAATTTCGATTAACGGTCAATTCGGTTCAAAACTATCAGTTAATTGTGAATTAACAGAATGGTTAACCGAAATTATATATATATATATATATATATATATATATATATATATATATATATATATATATAATGGATGTTTAGACTTTATAATTTGTGTTTTATGTTTGTAGTGTTGTTATGATATTGTGTTTGTATATTTTCTTAAGGATTTATTATTATAAGTATTATTTTAATTGAATTTAATATTATAGTTATTATTTTAAAGATTTAAAACTTTAGTTTAAAAAACTTCGGTTAATCGATTAGTCGACCAATTCACCGGAAAAAAATTTAGTTTGATTAATTCGGTAATATAAAGTTTGGTTCGATTAACGGTTAAGTCTTTAAAAATTTCGGTTAAAACGGTTCGATTAATCGAACGGTTAACCGATTGCACACCCCTAACTAAAAGTAGACAACCATCTATAATCTAGGACCAAAAATGAAATTATCTCGAAATAAAAGTATAATGTAGTGTAGTGTACATGTAAACACGAATTGAATTTAACCCCAACCCTAATACGTGAGGCATCATAGATAAACTTATTTAATAGTTTTTCAAAGTTACTATTTTGACCCCTCATGTCAAAAAATAGTCACTTTGAGAGATGGAATTTGTTATTTTGTAAAATAATTAAATATAATGTATAGCCAACCATAATAATAATAGAATATAATAGTAAGTAATATGAATTTTTCCTCCAAAACAAAAGGTTCTCATTGTTTTTCACGCTCCAAATTTTGGATGATTCCATGAATTTATCTAGGTGAAAGGGGGGCTATCTCTCTCGGGGGAGAGAACGGGAAAATCCCAAATGACTCAATATATCTGACAAGTCGCACTATATATCAATCCACGATGCATCTTCATCTCCGGGATTTCGGAAAGGTACTTCTGGAACACCAATAGGCATAAAATGAAAAGATCTCCTACTTTAAATTTAAAATTTCGCTTTTCTATCTATTAGAAGAAAGAGAAAAGGGGTCACTAAACTTATCGAGTTAACTTCTCATTGATGTATTGTTTCATCGAGATTTCATCCAAATTCCGATGGCATTTTCTTGTTCCTGAATGAGTTTCTTTTATTTAGGTTTAGTTATATGTTTAATATTTTAGAGTAAAAGACTTTTTTGTTCCTAGATTTATAGTGGCACGGACAATTTTGATCATCCACAAAAGAAATCAGACAATTTGTGGACACTCTTGTTGTGACGAGAACAATTTCGGTCCTCCTTCACTCTTCCCCTTAAATGCCCCTTTTGAGAGGGGGTATTTGCGTCTGTTCATGCACCATCATCTTCATCTTCATCCCCTTGGCTAGAAAAGTCACCGGACTCGAGCGTGGCATCTCCTTTCTCAGCCGCATGGGCATTCGATTCTTCATCTCCATCCGATCCTGACCTGTGACTGTTTTAACTTTCTAGTTAAAGCTTCCTGCTTTACGGACCTTTCATCTTCTTCGCTGTCAGAATCGAGAGAGGTGATTGGAGCTTGTAACGCTTATCAGCTTCTCCATAATAAACATTCACTGGAT